TGGGTTATAGCATAACTAGTAGGGTTGCCGATCTTCAGGTAGGGCCTGGAGATTTCCTAGTATTACAGCTGATTTCTAGACTGAAGAAGAAGACGAGGAGGAGGAGGAGGAGATTGGATTTATACCCCGCCCTTCACTACCCAAAGGAGTCTCAGAGCATCTTATAAACTCCTTTCCCTTCCCCTCCCCACAACAGGCACCCTGTGAGGTGGGTGGGGCTGAGAGAACTCTGACAGAAACTGCTCTCTTTCAAGAACAGCTCTTATCAGAACTATGGCTTGCCCGAGGCCATTCAGCCAGGTGCAGGTGGAGGGGGGGGGAATCAAACCTGGTTCTCCTAGATTAGACTTAACCACTACACCAAACTGTCTCAGTTTCCTTGAAGAAAATGGCTCCTGTGGCAGGTGGGCTCTGTGACATCATGTAAGCTTCCCTGAGCCCGTGCAGCGGGGAGGGAGGGCTATAAATTGATTTATAAATAAATAAATAAATATTCCACTGATGTCCCCAGGCTCTGCCCCCAAATATCCAGGAATTTCCCCACCTATAGTTGGCAACCCTACTAACTAGTTTAAAAATAGAGACATGCACACACACAACCCCCCCCAGGCAATAGTAGCATGATCTGGCATTAAAATTACATCCATATACACGACTCTAGCCCTGACCTGGATGGGCCCAGGCTAGCCCGAATTAATCAGATCTCAAAAAGGGTTGGCCCTGGCTAATATTTGGATGGGAGACCACCAAGGAATGCCAGGGCCATGACACAGAGACAGGCAATGGCAAACCACCTCTGAATGTCTCTTGCCTTGAAAACCCCACAGGGTCTTTGTAAGTCAGCTGTGACTTGATGGCAAACAAACAAACAAGAACACACATGCATACACAACTCCAATTGGCATAAAATATCATAGACACAGAACAAACTTCTAGACGAGGGGCAACTTTAAGACCAACAAAGTTTCATTCAAGTGCATAATAAAAGAAAAAAAATAAGTTGCCAGTGGAGATAAAATCAAAACATGAAAAAGTAATTACACATTTTTAAACCACATCGTAAGATGTCCCGGGGGGGGGGGGATAAAAATGCATTTGCCCGGTGCCAAAATATTAGCAGTTTTGGGGAATGGGAGGAAATTCCACAGGTGATGCACCATAGCTCAAATGACCCCCTCCCTTCTTGGCCACCCACCTGTTCACTGAAGGTGAGGGAAATTAAGCAGAACCTGAGAAGATAATAGAATCTCGGCAAGCTCATATGGGAGCAGAGAGCCCTGGTCTTGGCTGTGAAGGGCCTTGATGGTTAAAGCCAGTGCTTTGTGCTGAGTTCAGAAATTAAAGAGAACCAGCAAAACTGCTTAAGCACCAATGATATGTGTTGTCTATAGCCAGCACCTGATAGCAGCGATGAAATGACATTTTGAATTAGCAGAAGTTTCCCAACCATTTCCGAGGCCAACCCCACACAGAGATCGTGAACAAAATATCATCTGGAGGTGACAGAGACATTGATCTCCAGCAGGGCTATTTTGGGGCAGGCACGCACAGGAATGGAGTTCCGGCTGGCTTCAGAGTTGGCCACGCCCACTACAGCCAAAACCTCTGCACATGCGTGGCTATAGAGGGAAGGCCTGGAGAGCGACCCTCCCTGGCAACTCCGAGGTGGGCAGGCCAGGGGGGGGCCCTGGAATAATTGGGGAAGCATTTTATCTAAGGGCTGGCTTGCCCATGCTCCCCACAGCCGTGGGATACCCGGGCAAGCCAAGGGAAGGCAGTTTAAACTGCCTCCCCTCCAAGGGTCGGCTTTCCTGGGCTCCCCGCAGCCGCGGGGGCCCTGGGTAAGCCAAGGGAATGCATGGGGGTGTGGCCTAATATGCTAATGAGCTGTGCTGTCAGGGGTGTGACCTATCATGCGAATGAGTTCCTGCTGGGCTTTTTGGATCAGCTTTCTTCATTTTCCAACTTTCACACCTAGACATTATAATGCGGAGTACTATGACCTGGATTAACTCGATCTTGGTCGCCAGTGACAGATCCATTATCAGATTTCAATGACTGAGGAACAGCCATAACCAGTGAAGCACTCAAACCTGGTAAGAGATGTTACGTAATACAGATGAAACTTGGTCATAAGTTTGTAGATGTGGATCTAAGAACACTTTTAAGGAGGTGTACGACCCTTTCCTGAGTAGGCTGAATCTTAATTCCTTGGTTAGCATTACCACTGGCCAGCAATCCCTCACCCTTATCTAGATTGAGGTACAGTTTGTTGGATTTCATCCACCCCATTCCTACCTGAAGACATCTATTCAGAATCTCCACTGTCTCCAATTAAAAGGGGAGATGGAATTCTGAGTTATCAGCATAAGAATGATGGATTCCATAAGAATTTGGCTCAATAATGTTGATGACTTTTCCCAGTGGCTTCATATAAAAGTTTAAAAACATGAAGGGTAAGAATGAACCCCATGGGCCTCTGAAGCACAAGTGCCTGGGGGCCAAACAACAATGCAGCAGGCCAAGAGATACTGAAGAATCAATAAGGTCACTATCTCTTATGGTGACCAAGGCAGCATGTGTGCCCCAAATGGGTCTGAAGTTAGACTGAAATTGGTCTGGTGCTGGGGATACTGATGTCCCAACATTCCAGGAATGTTGGGACATCAGAGCCAGTTTGGTGTAGTGGTTAAGTGTGTGGACTCTAATCTGGGAGAACCGGGTTTGATTCCCCACTCCTCCACTTGCACCTGCTGATGTGACCTTGGGTCAGTCACAAGCTCTGGCACAGTTGTACCTGAAAGAGCAGTTTGTGTCAGAGTTTTCTCAGCCCCACCCACCTCACAGGGTGTCTGTTGTGGGGAGGGGAAGGGAAAGGAGGTTGTAAGCTGCTCTGAGACACCTTTGGGTAGTAAAGGGCGGGGTATAAATCCAATCTCCTCCTCCTCCTCCTCCTCCTCCTCCTCCTCCTTCTTGCAGTTTCATGGCCCTGACACAAATTTTGCCAACATAATCACTCCTTCCGGAGAAACCCAAGTGCGTATCCAGTTTTGAAATAACACTGCCTAGGGAAGTAATTTCAACACAAGGCTTTGCCAGTTTGGTGTAGTGGTTAAGTGTGCAGACTCTAGTCTGGGAGAACCGGGTTTGATTCCCCACTCCTCCACTTGCACCTGCTGGATGACCTTGGGCAAGCCATAGTTCTGATAAGAGCTGTTCTTGAAAAAGAGCAGTTTCTGTCAGAGCTCTCTCAGCCCCACCTACCTCACAGGGTTTCTGTTGTGGGGAGGGGGAAGGGAAAGAAGTTTGTAAGCCACTCTGAGACTCCTTTGGGTAGTGAAGGGTGGGATATAAATCCAATCTCCTCCTCCTCCTCTTCCTCCTCCTCTTCTTCTTGATTATGGCCTCAGTAAGAGCATTACAGAAAAACACTACCCATAGAGTACCCAAGCCTTCAAACATCAATGCAAATCAGAACTGAACAATGAATAGTTGAGATTTATTATAATGGGGTGAAAAGTAGAAATCATTTTGCTTAGATTATGAGACAAAAATCCATGCTGTTGGAATTGGACTCAGGTTGCTTTCTACAAGTGATGTCCAAACTTTCTCCTTTCAGGCATAACCATTTCTGTACTGTCTTTTCTGCAGGGGAACGCTTGTATATTTGCCATGGAACATTGGAAGCATGTTCTGTGCTGCACAGGCAGTTCATATGGGATGCTGGAAAAGACAATAGGCTTTGTGCAAATTCAGAGAGAACCCTAGAGGCACACACCTGACTTTCTCCTATGGCTACACATTACAAAGGAAGACTGCAGCAATCAGCTTTCATTCGGGAAATTTATTTAAAATATTTATCTCTGTTGACTCGAGGCAGCTAACAATGCAACAACATGTTGCAAGGACACAAAAACAGCATAACAGTCCATTAACACAACAAAAAACAAAACACACAGGTTGTAACCACACACAGCCAGATTTGCCCAAACAGTTTACTTTCCACCAAATGCCCTGATATAAAACTGTGAAGATATCCCCTGCCACCAATCTAGTAAGCCATTTCGGAAAAGTGGAGCCTCCACAGAAAAAGCCTGGGACCCAGCTGCTGCCGTATAAACAATCCTAAGTGAGGGAACCATAAGCAGAAGACGATCTGAAGAACATAGCTGGTATGTGGGATATGTGGTTCTCAAAGTATGAGGACTTCTAGCCATGAAGAGCTTTAAAGGCAATAACCAACACTCTTAATTGGACCCAGAAGCAAATATGTAACCAGTGCAGTGGAGGAGACAATGGAGCCGTATGTCATGAGCGGCTAATCCCAGATAGGGGTCTCACTGCCGCATCTGGTATCAGCTAAAGCTTCTGAGATGTCTTCAAGGATGGTCCCATTACCGATACTGACACTGAGAAATCTCTCGTTGAAGGGGAAGGAAGTGGTGATGTGAGTTACACAATTCACTTTGAAACCACTGTTCCATTTGCTTGAAAATAATTTACTCCCCTGCCAACATCTCTGTGCATTTTTATGCCCCACCCCTGTTTCAAGCCTCTTTTCAGAAGTCACTGTAGTTAACAGACCACATATCTAGATAATAAAAAGGCGACTGCCTTTCTTCCTGGCGTTATTAAGCATGGCAGTATTCATTAAACCTTGCTGCAATGTCAGTTTTATTGCAGTACGGAAGGAGAGACATCCAATCTTGCATGATATTAAGCGTTTGTGGATTAGATTGCAGAAGTGATCAAATTGCAACGCAAAGCCACCCAGGTGAAAATTACATGGTTGGCCTTCCCAGCAAACAAACTCACACAGACAGCTCCAGACAAAACAGCAGTGAGTTTGGTTGCCTGGGATTGTTAAAAATAATAATAATAATTCCCTTTAGCAAGTTGTTGCTAAATGAATCAGGGTAAACCCACAAACTATGGAGAAACACCCAACGCAAAGGTATAAATAAAGATCACTGGAGTGAAGGAAGTGGAGATGTGATCCCATCATCTTCCCTGCTCCAATTTTACCAGTTTCTTGGAGAGAATCCTCCAGTAGCCATTGCCATGACCAGCAGCTATAGCTTCAAGCAGAGAACGAGCTGTTCTAGCAGTGGTTGTGGTGGAGGGGGTGGTGGGAGCAGTGGTGGGAGAACCTGTGGTGGTAGTGGTGGTGGAGGAAGGTCCTCTTCAGTCTCCTCTCAAAGATGTACCTCCTCTGTGAGCAGCAACCAAGGGTTTTCTGGTGGAAGTTATGGAGGGGGGATATGCCACGGTGTATCGGGAGGATTTAGTGGTGGTAGTTTTGGTGGTGGATTTGGAGGATGTGGTTTCGGTGGGGAAGATGCTGGACTGCTCTCTGGCAATGAGAAGTATACCATGCAGAACCTCAATGACCGCTTGGCCTGTTATATGGACAAGGTGCGAGGCTTGGAAGCAGAAAACAAGGAGTATGAGCACTTGATCAGAGAGTGGTACCAGAAGCAAGGTCAGAGCACTTCACGGAAGGACTACAGCCGTTATTACAGCGAGATCGACACGCTCACTGACGAGGTAGGACTTCTTCTTTCCATACTTGTTATAATCCTTCAGAAAGTTCCTCTGTTAAAGATATGAGCACATCTGGTGAATTGGGCTATGCAGTAAAAATAGAGATTGTGGTGTTGGTGTGTAGGTGGCAAGGCGTACCCTACAGTCCAGGGGTGGATTTACTATGCAACTAATGAAGCTTAAGCTTCAGGGCCCTGATCCTGGAGGGGCCCTGAAGCAACTTTTTTTTTTTTAATGAGTGAATTTTCCAACAAAATTGATGGAGTTTTTTTTAAGGTGTTTGTTGTTAAAATAAGGCTAGTTTAGTGACAGAATCATAAGCCAATGGGTTGTACTTAAATTGCTGAGCAGTCGGGTTAGAAAAGGAAGTACTTCTTCACCCAAAGAGTGATTAATACGTGGAATTCACTGCCACAGGAGGTGGTGATGGCTACAAGCATGGACAGCTTCAAGAGGGAACTGGATAAACATATGGAGCAGAGGTCCATCAGTGGCTATTGGCCACAAGGTATAGACAGGAACTCTCAGTCTGGGGCAAGTGATGCTCTGTATTCTTGGTGCTGGGGGGAGGGCAACAGTGGGAGGGCTTCTAGTGTCCTGGCCCCACTGCTGGACCTCCTGATGGCACCTGGTATTTTTGGCCACTGTGGGACTGGATGGGCCACTGGTCTGATCCAACATTAGCTTCTCTTATGTTCTTATGTTCTTATATTGACCTTAGAATATGCTGTAAATTAAAAATGCTCTAAATTGAAGACGATAACAACAGGTATGCAGACCTCATTGTGGGTGGGAAGGGGCTCACTGTATGGCACATTTTCAAGGGTTCCACACCACCACCCCGTTCTCTGCCATTTGGGCCTCAAGGTCCTTGCAAGGGCTGCCTATCAACCATTCTCATCTATCTGGCCTACACACTAGAAATATTGGCCCCTCCCCCATTCCTAAAAAATGGTTTCTCGGAGGGATGGTGGCATGGCACGGCTCTATCTTGGAAGCTAAGCAGGGTTAGTACTTGGATGGGAGATGCTAAGGAAGACTTTGCAGAGGAAGGCAATGGCGAACCACCTGTGCATCTCACATGCCTTGAAAGTCTCTTACTGAGGTTTCTAGAAGTTGGCTGTGACTTGACAGTTCTTACATATGTAAAACCAAGGAGCATTTCAATGGAAGAGCTTATTTCCTGGTCTTCCTTCAAAAGGGTAAGATTCCACCTGCAGACACAGAGTGCAGCAGAGGAAGGATTTGAGTCTGGGGCCAGTAGAATAATGGCTCATAGCCACAATGCCATAGCACTAGCAGATCGATTCGTTCTGAAGAGTTTTGCACAGATCTGTGGATTTTTGAACAGGCCCAAAGCATTTCCACAGGTAGAAAGATACCTTCAGAGCACGAATCTCTCACTTCTCTCCTCCTGTGGCAGTCTGAACTGCCCTGTATTTCTCAGGGAGGCTGGGCAGTTCTATTCCTCAGGGAGGCAAAAAAGTCACTCTCCACAAACAGAAATCATTGCGGAAACTCAGTTCTGGATCCAAGTCATAGCCCATACCACCAAACTGGATACTTCCTGTGGAATCACCAGAATGTCTGCTTTTGAGCCATGATTCAAAGGGGGGGGGAAGATATTTGAGTGGGTATTTCTGCAGTTTGTACCCCTGAGGAAAACATATTATCCTGGGCTCTTAGTAATAAGTAATCTGCATTCTTTTCCATCTTGCAGCTAATCCATGAGGCACTGGGGACAAACAAGCTCATGTTGGACATTGATAACACAAAGATGGCAATCGACGACTTCAAGATGAAGTAAATCCACCATCTTTTCAGTTGCTTACCACTTTCTTATTACTCATGAACACGGGTCGTTTTGTAGAAAAAAAGCTAGGGGAACTCATTAGCATATGCCATACCCCCTGACATCACCGGAAGTGTGTCATAAGGCCACACCCACCACTCAGTTAGTCTTAGTCTTAAAGGTTAGTCTTAAAGGTGCTATTTGTTAGTCTTAAGGTGCTATTTGAACTCTTGGCCTATTTTGCAGCAACAGACTAACACAGCTACCTCGGGGAAGCTCCTGGATGGGGCTGGGAGTCCTTGTGGAGGCCATGTGGAGTGGCGTCAGCCAGGCAGAGGGGGAGGACACCAATTTACCCTCCTGCTTCTTCCTCCTTCTGCAACAGAATGAGGCTGGAAACGGGGCGGCCAGAAGAAGGGGGCGGGCTTCATCATGTGCCACGCCCCCTGCACCTCACCCGGGGAACTGTGATCCCCCACGATCCCCCCGAATCGACCTCTGCTCATGAATTACATATGACTGAAGGGGGCAGGGGGGAGGGGGGAACTGAAGGTGGATGGACTGAAGAACAGTCAAACTTCAGTAAAGTCAGAAACATGCAGCTAGGGTTGCCAGGCCCTCCCGGACTGCTGATCGGGGTTAAGAACATCAGAAGAGACCAGGGGTCCATCTAGTCCATCATCCTGTCTCACATTGTGACCAACCAGTTCTTCTGGAGGGCCAACAAAGGACAGAGAGGCCAAGACCTTCCTTGATGTTGTCTCCTGTCTCTGGGATTCAGAGTATTAGTGCCTCTGAATGTGAAGGTTCTCCATAGTCATCAGGCTAGTAGCTACTGATAGACCTATCCTCCATGAATACATCTAATCCCCCTTTAAAGTAGATAAATTGGAGTGTATAGGGGTGTGTGGGTTACCAGTTTCTGGTTGAGAATTCCTGGAACCTGGAGAGGGCAGGGACCTCAGTGGGGTACAATGCCCTAGAGTCCACCCTCCAAAGCATCCCTTTTTTCCAGGAGAGCTGATCTCTGTAGTCTGGAGATGAGCTGTAATTCCAGAGGATCCAATTCAATTCAAATACCTTTTATTGGCATACAATATTGGAAGCATTTCTTAATAATACAATCCAAAAGAAATTATAAAATAGATAGCCGTGGCTATGTCAGGCCTAACTCAAGTTGTCACAAGCTAGATTTGACCATACAAAAGATGCCTGAATCATAAAATAAATTGGCATTCTAAACTTTTAAACTTAAGTTTTTAGACTTATAAATTAAGAATCATTAATATGATCAGGGTCACTCTTCCGTTTTATAAAACAATGGAGAAACTTAGCGGTCAGTTCAATGATCTCCGGATCTCGTGAAGCAAGGAGAAATTGTACCTTGATTCTATCCCGATTGGCCTGCTACCAACCTAAGGGGGGCTTCTATAAACTCCACTCGAATGTCATTTAACAATTTATAGTGTAAGAGTACGTGCTCAACAGTTTCTATTTCACTTCTATTACATCCACAGAACCTGATTGAATAAGGAATTTGCTTATATCTCCCCTCAAGAATAGCAGAGGGGAGAACATTAAGACGGGCCAACAAATAAGCTCTACACATTTGCGGTGAAGTCAGACAGAAAAAGTAATATGGTAGAGCACCAGAAAGGGGATAGGCCCACCTTATTGAGGAGCACCTTCCGGAGGCAAGGGCTCTGAGCTCTTGCAACTCTATATCAATAAGCCATTCCAGAGGATCCCTAGATCCTACTGGGATGCTGCCATCCCTACAATACAACAGTTTTACACTTTCTAGCATCCATGGTTCCTTTGAAGCTGCCCGGGATCTTCTATTGGCCCCCCTCCTCAAACTAGAACCACAACTCAAAAATAACCAAATGTTCAGCAACGATAGCTAAGGAATGGTCTGAAAGTCTTCAGCTTCTTAAGTTAATTAAATAAGAACCGAAGTTTCCACTTATGTAAGGGGGAGGGCTCCCCTTTAGATAATATCTAAGCATGAAGGCCAGACAGGAGCTGCTTTTCTTGCAAATCTATTATTTTCTAGTTCAGCAAAATTAGTTTGCAGAATGTATGGTTCTGGAAATTGGAAAAAAAACCAACCTCTAATATACTCAAGGGGTCCCCAGCCTTGTTGAACCTGTAAGTGGTTTTAGAAGTTTGAGGACAGGCAGTGGGGACCACAGCAAAATGGCTGCCAAAGGGGGTGGGACCAATCACAAAATGGCTGCTAAGGGGTGTGCCTAATCACAAAAAGATGGAAGGTTCCACAAACGTTAAGATACCAAGCTAAACATCTTCCTCAAGCTCGAAGCCAAGATTTTGTGGCTTGTTGGGCAAATTTTTGTCTGGTGAGGCTAAAGTTCTCAGTGCAGAAAGAAAAGTCATTTAGCCAATAGAAAGCTGTTACCAGGATAGACCTCTAAATTGCAAGCTGTCAACCACTTTAGAAGACAGTTTTCAGTTGCTACAAGTTAATTACTTCTGCCAGCCTAAGCAACAATTATGATAGCAAGCTGTTAGGTGGGAGTGATGACTTCTATAGTCAAGAAAACGAACACTTAGGCAGAAAAACTCTCTTAAAGCAGACCAGTTTCTTTTCTTTCTTTCTTTTTTGGCTCCCCAGAGGGGATTTTTTATTGCATTTTAATAGACTACAAACTACAAAGAAAAATTGGGAAGGAATAACTACACCTAGGGAGAAAGGAAAGAAAACCACTAATAACTAAAACCCCAAGAATAGGAGATCATAACAACAATCTTAAATTGCTAGTATTACTTTGAACATAGTTATGCTCAAATATTTATCTTTTTATCCATTGATTTAACTGTTTAAGAGAACCCCCAGAGCATCCCATAATAACACAAAAGTTTTAAGGCAAAATTCAGAGTCCTTCAGCCTTCATTTGGTTTTGTCTTTTCTAATCCTCAATTTATATGCACGTTTGGGGGCAGCTGCCCCCTTATCAGAAAGAGAGTCCTCGTCGGAAGACACCGAGTCCAATTCGCCACTAGATTTGCTGTCATCTTCTTCCTTCTCAACCTCGGCTGTCTCTCCCAGCTGCAATCTCAGGAACTCACATGCTTTAGGGACAGAGTCAATCTTTTCTTTTTTATCTTGTATTTTGAAAATTATGACTTCTGGAATTAACCATCTGTAGACAATGCTGTTTGTTTGTAGGAAAAGGATTAAGTCTTTATATTTCTTTCTCTTTTGCCTTATTTCAAATGGGACGTCTTTTAGAATCCTGATGATATTGTCCCTGATTTTCAAGGGTGTTCCTGTAGTTGCTTTCAGGATAGAATCCCTCACATGCCTCTTTGAGAATCTGACCACTATTTCCCTAGGCAGATTATTCTTCTTGATGTACATGGAATAGGACTTATAGACCACATCCATTTCGTTTGCAAGACATTCCACTTTCAAATCTGTAACTGGGGCTAATGCTTCACTCAAGAGTTGCTTTAGATTCTCGCCTTTTAATTCTGGGACCCCTTAAACTGGAGGACCAAATTTGCTTTCTCCATTTGCAGCTGTAAAAGTTGTGATTCTTCCAAAGCTTGTTACTTTTCCAGCTTTTGCACCTTTTTCTTAACTTTTTTAGTGTTGTCGTCCATTTCCTTCACCTTCTCAGCCATTTGCTCCGTTATTTTTAAAGTCTCAGTCAGTTGGAGCTGGTGAGTAGCAAGGTTCTGATTTAGAGTTGTAGCTGTTGTTTGATGTTAGTCATCTGGTCCAGCAGAGGGCGCAAGGAATCTGCCAACATTTTGGAGAACTCAGTGACCTCTTCCAGTCGAGGGCTCATGTTCCCCGCTGGTTTCACTTTTGCTAGTTTGTCTTTCTCTGCCCTCTTTCCCGCCATCTTTATGGATTGTTTACTTTTATGAAAACTTGCTAAAGTCTCTGAAATTCGCCCATACCCTCGCTTTTCTCGCCATTCCCGGGGGGTAGCGTTCTTTTTAAATTCTCATGTTCGCTTTAACCCAACTCACTGTTCATTGTTGGTCATACGACCTTGCTTGGAACATGTTTAAAACTCTCAATCTCCGATGCTTGTCCTGGTCAGCGACTCTAGATCCATACAGATACAGCGGCAGGACCGTCAGGGTGGAGGAGCGCCTCAATTCCCCAGCAATGCACTGGCGAAGAGGTCGCCCCTTAAAAGCCCCATGGCTAGGAGCCTTTTGCCAAGGCTCCAGGGGGGTGGTGACCCGTCAGCCCCCCTCCTATCCGCTGGTGCGCAGATCACATCCCCGGGAGGTCCGGGAGATGCGTGCACCAGCGTGTCGCCATAAACGGGAAGTCAGGAGACCAGTTTCTTGATACAGAGTTAGAAGGTATCCTAGAGGTCACCTACTCCAACCCCCTTGTTCAGTGCAGGAATTAGTCACTATGGCACCCCATTCTGCTTAAAGGAGTACACAGCTTTTAAAAAACATTTAAAATGACTGAAAAAAAGCATTTACAGGAGAACTTCTTGTTGGGCTCTGCCTTTAAGAAAGGGGGTAGAACCCCCAAAAGCTTCACCATAGCTACGGGCCTGATCTTCCTTATATGGGATCTGCTGTTTCTGGATGGGTGCTGCCAGCTGACACAAAGGTGATGTTCCCTGGGCATTTCTGAAGCATCTCCTACTCCAAAGAAGTGGAAGAAAGCCAGGATTACTCCCTGCTTTGGAGAATAATCAAGTGGACATCATGGCAACCACAGAGACCATGATAGGGATCACTGACGTAAGCAAAGGAAACTGGAAGTCCATCACTGTAGCATTAAAATAAAAACAAAAGGTTTGAAAAGAGATTTTAAAAAAATTAGATGAATATCAAAACCAGATTATAAATAATGTTGGAAGCCAAAGGATTTTTTTTTTGCGACCTAAAAGGAAAACTCTAAACTGCACAATTAGACGCTTTGAGACTAACTAGTTTGTCTGCTTTGCTTGTATATTAGATATGAGACTGAATGTGGCCTGCGTCAAAGTGTGGAGGCTGATCTTCATGGATTACGTCCACTTTTGGATAAACTGACGTTGGATAAGTCTGACCTGGAAATGCAATATGAGTCTTTGCAGGAGGAGCTAATACATCTCAAGAAGAACCATTGTGAGGTAGGGCCTACCCATACCTGAAATGAAATATGTGGTTTTTAAAACAAATATGTACAGTAAGATCTATGAATACATACAACTTTCTCTCTCCAAAGACTTTTTCAGTCTTCACTCCTGAATACAGCACCTGTTTATTTGTTCACTAGACACAGGAGGAAAAGAGAAGGACTTCTTTCCTCCACTTGAAGGAAATGGATACAGGATGGTTCTTCCAATACCATGAGCTCAGGCCATTTAGGGCTTCATAGGTTAACCTAGCACTGTGAACTGTATCCAGAAACGAACTGGGAGCTGATGCAGTTGCCTCCAGATCATGAACTGAAGACTCAATCAATGAATTAAACTAAGGACCACAACTTTATTAACTAATGTAGCCAATCTTCAACAGCAAATATGGTCACTCAACCTCCTTTTTGTGAATTTGGGTTACCTGCAAGGGTCATTTCATAGAAAAAGAGGTGCAGGAGCTCATTAGCATAACTCATTAGTATAACTTATTTGCATATGCCACACACCCCGACATCACCGGAAGTGTGTCAGAAGGCAACACCCACCACTCGGGCTCCACTGGACTGTTTTGGATTGCTAGCTATTGGGGGGGGGGGACGTGCAGATCTGTCCTCGCAGAGGAGGGAGAGCTTGTACCTGAATAAAACTTGGTCTTAAAGGTCCCACTGGACTGTTTTGGACCGTGGGGCCGGGAGGAGCTCTGCAACTTACCTGGCTGCTTCTTGCTCTGACTGAGGGCTGCTGGGAGCAGGGGTGGGGCTTGTTGCATGTGCCCGCCCCCTGGGCTCTTTACGGCCGGAGCTCCGCTCATGTGTGCTCCTGCAGGAAATGACCCCTGGTTACCTGCTACAAAGATAAGAATCAGGGAACTGCGAAGGAAATATGCCTATAGGTCTGAACAGGCTCATATTTGGTCTTCTTTGGGCCTGCAGTTACAGCAAAGCGCACAATCGCAGTCTGGTGGGGACGTCACTGTGGAGGTCAATTCGAATGCTGGCCCAGATTTGAAAAAGCAACTGGATGAGATGAGGTGTGAATATGAACAGATCATTGCAGACAACCGCAGGGAGGTTGAAGAATGGTATGAAAGCAAGGTGAGCTATTCTCAAAAGAGCCCGGATAGTGTGAAAACCTGCAGGGGGGGGGGACCTACTGGCAGTCTTCCTCCTGTTATAAAAGGGAAAGATACCCAATTTCTAGTGCAGCACTATCTGTCTATGAGTTCCAGTTTGATTGCCAGAAGATTGTGTGTGGGGGGTGCATGATTAACAGGACTTATTGACACTGGACGCCTACAAGAAGTCTCAAGCTCATGCAATATCTTCTTTTCAGAAAAAGGCCTGAAATGTTCCCCCACCACCACCCCTTTTGGTTTATTTTTTAAACATCCAGCCTGCTGAAGGGTTCTGAAGAACTTAAAGTCTTCCACATCATTTTGTGTTATTTTGGTTGGTTGTAATAAAAGGTATTATAATACTTATGGCCCATTTGGGGCCTTTGCTTTGGACCAATGTGGCCACTTAGAAGTTCTACTCACACACTTAAAGGTTTGAACTATTACTGCTTATTTGCAAGGAACCATTTTCAGGGAACAGGTTTGCCAGCTCTGGCCTGGGAAATTCCTGGAGATTTGAAGGAGGAAACTGGGGAAGGTGGAATTTGGAGCAGGGAGCAAGGTCATCAGGGACACAATCCCATAGCCTGCCCCCTGAAGCAGCCATTTCCTCTAAGGGAACTGAGCTCTGTCATCTGCAGATGAGTTCTAGTTCTGAGAGAACTCCAGGCCCCACCTAGAGGATGGCAACAACAGCTCAGCTGCAGTTCTGTGATAGTGCAAGGGGGAGCTAGAGATTACCAGCTGGGGAAAAATCTAACATTCACACCAAACTGCATTCCCAAAATGCAAGAAAAATAATTTTGTAGTATCAATATGCTGGCAGTATGTGGAGAAGCTGCATTTCCTTTCTTCCTATCACCAACCTGCAGGCTCCAAACCATCTTATAGGTGAAAGCAGATGCTGGATTTGAGATCTGGGATCAGAGTTGCCAAGTACTGTGCATACATAAAATATTATAGAAACAATATCAACACAATCTGTAATGCTTGCTTGCAGCTATGTAATACCAAAAAAATTCCTAATATTCCAAGCTATCTTGTCCAAAAGTTAAATGGTGCTTAGATATAGTTGTGAAAAGTTTTAAAAATATCATCCATTATTCAAAACACCAGCACTGGTGGGAAATAATAACTATCGAGATTTCATTTTGGGTTGTCCTGGGAGGTGGCAGCAGGCTCTCCTTCTCTGAAGGTTTCCGAACAGAGGCTAGATGGCCATCTGACAGCAACACTGATTCTGTCAAGGGTTGCATCTTGTGGCCCTTTCTTACATGCCCAGGGAAATGCTGATCACCACTTTGGGGTCAGGAAGCAATTTTTCTCCAGGCCAGTTTGGCTGGAGGTCCTGGAGGGCTTTTCTTTTTCTTTTTTTTGCCATCTTCTGGGTGTGGAACAGAGGTCACTGGGTTTGTGTGTGGGGAGGTTTTTGTGAATTTCCTGCATTGTGCAGGGGGTTGGACTAGATGACCCTGGAGATCCCTTCCAATGCTGTGATTCTATGGTGAGGCTGTTAATGAGAGGATATTTTGGAGGTCATTAATTCATAGGGTCATCATAAATCAGAAGCGACTTGATGTCACATTACCCAGTGTGTGATTTTACCACTTTGCACATGTTATGATAAGGCTGGTAGCATTTGGGGGAGCTTTTGTTGTGGAATCTGTGGACTTTTGCAAAGACCTCATTTTGGTTCTCTGTTTGCGTCCTCCAGATGGAAGAGGTGCGTCAGCAAGTGAGTTCAAGCTGTCAGGAGATTGACAGCAGCCAGAAGGAATCTGCAGACCTCAGGCGGGAATATCAAAGCCTGGAGATTGAACTGCAGTCCCACCTGAGCATGGTACGTGACAGTTTTAGACCTGGCATTCTGATTCTCTATGGTAGTCTCCCATGGAACCCAGTTCCAATTGCTAAAGTCCTGTACTGAGACCTGATTTCCATCCTGGGCATGCTACTATGCTGGAAGCAGAATGGGCGTGTGGACTGCCACGTTCTGCTTGTGGCATGGCACCCCACTATCCTCGACAATGACACAGAAGATTCTGGGGTCGGTTCTCAATATGTGTGTGACAATGTCATTGTCCAGGCATAGTGCTTTGTGCACGGTGTGGCAGGAAAGATGCCCCACACAAACTTGAGTCACAGCTCTCCTTTCTGACTGGGTGAGATATTTAGTTTTATTTTTGTATTTTAAGCTGGCGAAAGCCGTTAATTAAACTTTGATTGATTGACTGGGTGATATGGGAAAGGCAGGACAAGGAGTTGGAGGACAAGCCAAGCCTGGTCATATCTGCAGACACTGCATGTCTCACTTCTGACAGACAGGAGGCGGACTAAGCTGAAATAGTTCAGTTGCTGCTACTTGGGAGCATCCTCCATCCATCTTGGCCTCTTCTGGAGTGTGGGCCCAAAGGGAAGTTTATAATACACTTAAACATTTCAGGTAGTAGTTGACCATAGTGGTAAGGTATAAAATGACGTTATAACAGTGGCATTTGTTGTTTTGTATTCCCTGAGATTAAGATTCAAAGCCATCACCATTCTGGTGATATAAATTCTTGCTGTGACAAGAACTCTAGTATCGGGAACCATTTGCTATCGAAGTTCGTTTTAGCTGGTTTCAAAAGAGATCTGTTTATTTTGTCAGTGATATTATCCATCAGGTAAGTTTCCCACATTTTTTGAACCATAGGTTCAGGTTAGGGGGGTCCAGTTCCTGCCAACGAGGGGCAATGGCGGTTTTTGCTGTAAATAGCATCATGTCAGTGGTTGGTTTGAGGTGGTGTGTAGCTAGATGTTCCAGCCAGTGTTCTAGGAAAAGAGCTTCTGGAGTGAGGGGGAGTGAGATGTTCGTTATAGTGCGAATATGGTGTAAGACTAGTTCCCAGAAAGTCCGTATCTCATCACACCTCCACCAACAGTGGTCATATGTTCTAATTTGTTGAAAACCTTTCCAACAATAGGGTGATTTTGTAGGGCTCATATGTGAGATTTGTTGAGGCGTAAGATACCATCTGGTCATGGTTTTGAGAGTTTGTTGCTCCATTGAAATAATGGGAGATTTAAAAGACAGGGAATTCCAGAGTTCAAACAATATATCATTGGCCCAAAGGGAAGTTTGTTGATCAGAATACCTTTAGTACTGCAGGCAGATTTTGAGAGCAGAGTTAGAGGCACTTAAGATAGATTGCAGGGATTTGGGGTGACGTGACATTCAACCAATCTGGGGGCCTTACTGGACAGTCTTTTATGGCTTCCTACGGGCAGGCTGTCCATGCCTACCAAATGATAAAGAACCAGATTAACACCTACGATCCCCATGCCTTGCTGCCTCGTGTAGTATCAAATTGGATATTATTAATTATTTGCTTAGAAAATTTCTATGCCACCATTTGAGAGACCTGTTCAAAGTGGTTTATAATAAAGAATAAAAATAAAGCATAAAACCAGTGCATTAAAACAGCCATAGAACCTTCCCGTTGCTCTCTTCTGTTTTACTGACTTTTGGATTATGTGGATTCAGCTGCAGTTTAGATATATTTGTGTGCCAACCTCTCTGGATGAGATAGGGTTGACAGGTCCACTTGGCCACTGGCAGGGGATGTGAGGGTAGGGTTGTCAGATCCAGTTCGCGAAACTCCTAGAGATTTGGGGATGGAGCCTGGGAAGGACAGGGACCCCTGTGGGGTACAATGCCACAGAGTCCACCCTCCAAAGCAGCCATTTTCTCCAGGGGAACTGATCTCTGTAGTCCAGATATGAGCTGTAATTATGGGGGATCCCCAGGCCCCACCTGGAAGGTGGCATCCCTAGGAGGAGGCCAGGGATTGGATCAGATGACTCTCTGGTCCCTTTTAGTGACTGATGATTCTAAGGTTCTGTTCTTGCCAAACACTGCTGAGGCAGCAAACTTGTGTTTGGGTTGTACCACTTCACACTGATGGTAGGATTCACATGACTGAATGTTCCTCCTCTACATATCAAGGAAAACTTTAAAAAAACTGGCATGTCAAGGAGAAGACTAATCTAGACGACTTCATTCCCTAGTTCCATCATCTAGTTGTCTGCATACACTGAGTATGTTAGGGTTCCACTTGGTTAGGTTTTATAGGGTTGCCAACTCCAGGTAGGGAAATTCCTGGATAATTTGGGCATGGAGCCTGGTGTGGGGAGGAACCTCAGAAGAGTATAAGGCCATAGAGTCTCCCCTCCAAAGCAGCCATTTTCTCCAGGGGTACTGATTTCTGTAGTCTGGAAATCAGTTATAATTCCGGGAGATCTCCATGTTGCACCTGGAGGCTGGCAACACTGGGATATAAAGCAGAAACAGGCTGACCACTTCACGGAACAGGTCCCTCCACCTTTAATTTTTTTTTTCATTTGCCTCCCCATGGCAGGTCCAGTCTCTGAAAAACAACCTGAATGACATGGAAGGTCGCTACGGCATGCTTTTGCAACAAATAGCCAGCCAGATTGAGCCAGTGGAAGCAGAGCTGGCGGGTATCAAGTGCGAGATCCAGCAGCAGAACCAGGAGTATCAGACACTTCTTGGCATTAAGGGCCGTCTGGAGCAGGAGATCTGCCAGTACCATCAGCTGCTCGAGGAAGGGAAGCACGTTGCGTAAGTCGATGTTGTGAAGCTGTCCCTCTTTCAAGTAATATAAAGCATGTGCTCTATGCGTTAGAAATCTACTAGAGGTAGGAGACGTACAGGATTATCTCTTTTCACTATACTGCCCAGAGGCTGGCTGGAGCTAAGTCTTCAATGCACAAATCTAATTCAGGCTGACATCATTTTATTTCACTCCACACGCATTCAGAAGATCATCACTCACGATCCAATAAGGAAGATTATTTTAGAGCATTTGACCTAAGGGGTTACTGAACTACATTTCCCATCATGCCTTACCTTAAAAGTGAAGGAGTATTTTGCTCTAAATACAGACTGCTAGCTGCATATCCTGCTGGGGCAGTATGCGCTCACTGCTGATTCGAACAGTGTGCAAACATGGCCCTTGAGATCACACAGCATACCCTGAGATGGGGCAGCAGCCAGGGCCCATCAGTTCTGGTGGGGCCCACTTCTGCTGACTCCATACTTATGCATCTCCTCGGATATTCTTCTACTGCCTGCTAATTTTTACACACACACACACACACATTTGTGTATTTATATATACAGCAGCAATTAAAACATAAATAAGGAGGGTCATTAAGAAAACACCAAATGAAACAAAAAAGTCTTCTCTGACGGAAGACAATGACAGAGGGGGACAGATGAATCCTCCTGCAAAGGGAATGCCACAGTTTTGGTGCCATGACTGAGAAGGCCCTTTCTTGGGTTGCCGCCCATCTAGCCTCAGATGACAGGGGCACCTGAAACAGGGCCACAGAAGATGACCACGGTAGTTGCACAGGTTCATATGGGAGTAGGAGGTTCTTAAGTATGTGGGTGGCAAACAACATAAGGCTTCAAAGGTCAATCCCACCACTTTGAATTGGGCCCGATAACAAATTGAGAGTTTGTGTAAATGGAACAGGACTGGAGTCATATGGTCCTTACAACCTATTCCAGTCAGCATTCTTGATGCTGCATTCTGTACCAATTGCTTTAGGACACTCTTCAAGGGCAGCCCCATATAAAGCACACTGCAGTAATCTAATCTAGTTGTTACCAGGGAATGCACCACAGTGGCAAAATCTTTTTTACCCAGGAAAGGCCACAACTGGCTCAGAAACAGAAGCTGGTGGAGGGCGCTCCTGGCCACCGCTGCCACCTGCTTGTGCAACAGGAAACCTAGCTCCAGGAGCGCTCCCAAGCTATGAATCCACTCCTTTAGGGGGTGTGCAAGCCTATCAAGAACAGGAGACACCAGCTGAACTCTGAGCAGGAGCAGGAGAGAGAGCTGTGAGAGAGCTGTTGCCTGACTGCTGGGGGAGGCCTCTATTTAAGGAAGCACCTTGCCAGAGGCAGAGGAGACCAGCTGAGCTCTGAGCAGGAGCAGGAGAGAGAGCTGTGAGAGAGCTGCTGCCTGACCTCTGCTGGGGGAGGCCTCTATTTAAGGAAGCACCTTGCCAGAGGCAGAGGAGACCAGCTGAGCTCTGAGCAGGAGCAGGAGAGAGAGCTGTGAGAGAGGTGAGTGGGTTTCTTTTACTTGCTTTCAGCTGAGAGAATTCAGCTAAGGATATTTTGTGGGAAAACTGTGTTTAGCAGTGTGTGGAAGCACTTAGAGTTCTTGCAGAGTCCTGGCTGATTGAGTGTGGGAGAGGAACGGGCACTGTTTGACTGGGATTGCCTGTAATTGAGAGGAAGTGGAAGGGGCATTGTTTTGCCTGTGATTGAGTGCCTGGGTGAATTTGAATTTGAATAGCTGCTGCCTGACCTCTGCTGGGGGAGGCCTCTATTTAAGGAAACACTAAAGGGCTCTTTGCCTGTGGCGAGCTAAAGGGCTCTTTGCCTGTGGCGAGCTAAAGGGCTCTTTGCCTGTGGCTCTTAGCCTAGGGACTCTTAGACTAGGGGCTCTGTAAGAAGCCCAAAAAGAGCCAGAAAGACAAGGCCCTAGGCTCTTTGTCTTTCCCGTAAAATAATTTGACTTTGATAACAAAAACCACATAAATACCAAGGGTTTAAAAGGGGGATTATATTTATTTATTTTAAAAGA